GCACAGGACTTGCTCCAACCTCACAGGTGAGGCAGTCCTGAAGGTTCCAACTTTCTTGTCCAGTAGATGAGGATTCCTGGTATCCACCTGCTTGCCTCTGGCCACATTTGTGCATTGAGAGGAGGAGGATGCAGTTTATTTTTTAAATTGTTTTTGAAACCACATCCTCTGGCTAATGCCATGCCCTTCATCTTGGGGAGGACACATGTGCTGGCTGAGTAACCTTGGGAATCCCATACAAAACGAGTGCATCCGTCAAGGCTGTCTTCTTTCCAGTGGCTGCCTCCCTCATCTCGGGTTCCAGCCTCCCGCTATTTCAGTTCATCTTCCCTGGCTCTTCGCTGCTAATGTTTGTTTTTAAGAAATTCACCCATCAGCTTACAAGCCTAAGTGAGCTGAATCTTAATGAACCTGTCAGAATCACGGTTTTTGTGTTTGTGTGTGTATGTGTACGTGTGTTTTACAGTAGGTCCTATTGACAGCTGAATGCTGAGTGAACGACAGCTTCGGGCACTGAGGACATGACGGATGGATGCGGAGGTTGGAACCACCTCTGCCAGCATGGGGGAGGTGCCTTTCATTCCACCTGCACAGCTGCAGGCAGGCGCTTGTCGTTAGCTGTGCAGGCTCCTTTGCTTCATTAAGTGGAATTAAGTTGTAAACAGCTCCTGTAAGGGGGCAGGGTCCAGGGAGGTGATGGGTGATGGTAGGCAGGTCTAACCTAGTCTGTGAGGTTCTTGGGGCTTTGTAAAAACAGACTGGGAAATATAAACAGATATGAAAAGCAGCCTGGCTTGGTTTATTTAAGAAGCAGTGTCTATTTGCAGGATTCAGGAAGGTCATGCGCGCTGCGGTGGCCAGTAGAATGTCTGGGGTCCTAAAATTGCGTAGTGAATACAGGTGCATTTGATCAATCACATGAAAACCATCACTAAGGCTAGGGTCAGGACAACCAAAAAATGAGTCAAGTAGCTTCCTAAAGTGCTTTGGTTTGCCGGGTACTCGCAGCTGCCTTGTCACAATACAGGCTCATGGTACAGCGGCTTCGAAGGCAGAAGAGGAGCCCAATGTTGACTGAGCTGGAGTGAATTTGGGAGGAAAACACCGATTTTACAAGCAACAAAGTCAAGTGTTGAAGGCAGATCTGCCAACCCAAACATCTGATGCTTTTTTTTTTTTGAGGAATTTTAAAAGTAAAACTCAGCCAAAAAGTTTGGTTAAGTGAACCAAGTCATTTTCTCCGCTAAAAGCATAGGAAAGGTTAACCTTTTCCAGATAGTGGAGACAGATGAGAAAAAGTACAAGGTGGCTGTATTATGCTTAAGGTAAAAAGTGAAAAAGCCCTTGTTCTTTTTGACTCCAAATGCTTAGGGCATCTGAACAAGCCTTGGCCAATCACACGATCCCCACTTTTAAAGCAAGTGGATGTCATTCTCTGATCTTTGATCTAGTCATGTGGCAGGAAAATGTAACATCATGACTAAGATGTACTATGAACCAGTATTGTACTGGATGCAAAGCTAGGCATAGGGAGCTGTTAATCCCACACACCAGGTTTTGTTGGTATTCTGTTTCACAAGGCACAGAACTAGAGTTCAAGGATTGGAAGTGCAGTGACCTGGCTCCTACAGCGACTCAGTGGCTGGAATGTAGTTTTGACCCATTTTTACCAGATGCAGGCTCAATGGGGCAGCCCTTTGTGGAGACTCCGGGATCTGGGGCGGCAGGTTCCTTTTAGCAGCCTTCAGTTTCTGCCGGAATCGTCACAGAATCATTGCGCCTGGATGACTCAGCTGCCCCTGTGTGGCACAATCCTTGGTCTTAAAATAACAAATCCCCGTTGTGAGTGCGCATGCCTTGTGATGTCGCATAAATCCTGGGATAATGAGCAGTTGGTGTCTCCGCTTACAGACACTTCTTACAGGGCTTTCCCCAACCTGGGCACTTGCATGCAAGGGGAGGGGGGGGAAAGAGGGTGAGAACTCCGCTTTGGCACATGCAGGAAGGGAAGGAGCTGGTTTAGGGACTTGGGAGTCTCCTGATACCACATCTGGAGCAAACAGGAAGGGCCGGGAAGAGAGATGTGCCAAGCTACATTCTCCTTGTCCCTGCATGCCACATGAATGGCCAAGACTGTTTTATGTAGCCATGAAGACCCCAATGCTACTTCCTTGAGGCACTGCAGCCTGTATCTATGGGACCTTTCTACTATTCTGTGTTGAAATGGCTATACCAGGGGTTATCTGAAATGTCCTTTCTCTCATCCAATGCCCACTGGTTTCAGAGCCCACCACAGGGCGATTCCTTCTTCCTGTAGGAAAGCAGGTGGAGTCCCCTCATGGGCCCACTGTGGGTTCACACAGGGACTGATCTTGCTCACCCTGAGTATGAAGCTCCAGGAAGAGTGTGTGCTATGTTTTATTGAGAAGTCCCCTGGGCATGTCCCATCCTGCACTCCCCAGAGGCCTCTTCCAGGGCATAGGGCCACTTCAAGGACACAGTTCAGACTCTCCAAGGGCAGAGTCCAGATTCTGCATTTTTAAAACACATTTGATTCTGAAGCCCTAACAGTTTGAGCTTGGCAGGTTCACTCTCAATGCTGCGGGCCCCTTTACATCGCAGGGGCCTTCCACTGGACTGCTACCTTCCACTATCTATGGCCTCAGCTGTTTCCCTGATAAGCACAGAGGTAATACACATAGCACCTGCCTTACAGGGTTAGTGGGAGGATCAGATGAGATTAATACCTAAGAAACATTTGGCACAGTGCCGGGCTAATCTTCCATCGGAAAGCAGAGGCACTGACTTTCACAGTATTCAAATGCTAAAATACTGCTGCTGTCCTAATGTCCCTCACCTCTCTTCCCCATCACATGCCCCCCTAACAGGCTGCTCATGATTTCCCACCATCCAGCAATTAATGGGTTAATTTCTAGCCTTGCAAAAGGTCCTCCAGGATGCACCTTTTGGTCCGCTAGAGAAGGGCAGGTAGGAGTGCCCACTGTAGGCTGGACTGTAACCCCTTTGCAGGGGGAGGCTTCACTGTAGGGCTTCCTGGCCACCAACCCTGAGAGCAATACCTTTGCACTGATGCTAGATTTCATCTCTCTGGCCTCCTCCAGCTCTGACCCCGCCTCTAAACTTTGACCTCCAGAAACTAGTCTCTGCAGCCTTTTCCTCTGTTGGCCTTTGACCTCTCTAGAGGATGAGGGATGAGCTAGCTCTCACAGTTGACCATAAGGCTGCTCCCACGATGGACTGGCTTCCTGATCCAAGTCAGGTTTTAGCGATCTTACCTTCAGGTGTCGTCATTTCCCAGACACCTGCTCCAACCAAGCACATTGGCAGGTTTTAGAGATGAGGTTCCAGCCCTTCTTGGCCAGTTCTAGTCCTGACAAAGATCATGAGTATGCATTCTTTGAGAACAGAACACTGACATAGTAGCAAGGTGGGTCAGGGAAGAGGCAGAAGGCTTTAGAAGCATTTCAGACAGGCATTGACATGAAGTGAGCTTTGGGAGAGGGGGCTGCAGTGGATCCAGCCCTCACACACAAGTTAAGATCCTAGATAATCAGACAGGGAGCCACAACACCCTCACTCACACTAAGGATGAGACCAAGGACCCCGTTCTCTACCAAGACCCACTCACAGGGCCCAGCCTGTGGTTTGACTGCTCGTGAAAGTCTCCTGATAAAATGGGAGCTCAGCCAAACAGGAAGAGTCTAGCTAGCGGCCAGAGAGTCCCAACAGATATACCATCCAGCTGCCAATCACAGAAGCTAATCATGAGCGCTGTAGTCACATCACCAGTGAATGCCTCTCCCACTTGAGATCTCAAAAGCCCCAGGCCTGGGAGAAAGGATGCCACGTGCTCTTGACCGTCTGCTCCTCCCATGGAAGAGATGTCAACACAGGTGGCTTTACTGACTTGTAATTGTAACTCGTTACTCTGTCAGGTGAAAACGAAGTTGAAGCAAGCCACCCAAAAGCAATCAACAAGTAAGTTGCTGAAGAAAAGCACAGTTTGACAAATGAACAGATAGATGGATGATATGAGCCACAGAGGCACAAACAGAAGAGAAGCAGGTTTGGGGTTGGTGACAGTGTGAAATGATGGGTTTGATTTTACATACGTGGTCACTGAAAGCTGTGGTAGCCAGAATCGTCCCCCCTCCCCTGAATGTGTTCTGCCTTTTTCTTTGGGACAGTGTACTTGGCCTAGTCCTGAGAAAGGATGACTGGCCACCCCACACGCTTTAGCCAAGGACATATGAGCAGAAACGGTGCTACTCCTGAATGGGAAGTATAAGAAATGATATGACCTCACTTCTTTCCTATCCAGTGCTCAGAAGTGAGTCTCAAGGTAAATCCTGAATGCCTCTGCATGGGTACATATCCCTGGAGACCAAGAATCGTGTGATGGAGAACAAGCCATTTCTGCAACAAACTGACATGCAGGAACCAGAATGGCATGTGGCCCACATGAATGAAGACATGCACATATGGATGTGCCCACACGCATGAAGAGGCCACGAGGTCAGTGGGAGGTGGCTAGGAACAAAGACCACCAAGACCTATTGGCTACTTGACCAATAGATGTGGCTTTAAAGGAGGGATGGGAATGTCAGCTGCCTGTGTGATGTCCACTCCCCCCTGCCCTGTTTCAGGCAACCAGGTGACCTCTTCCTGTGCCCCCAAGTGGTGAGCATGGTGCACCCTCTTTCCCTCCCCACATCCTCTTCCTCTAGGTAAGCTGGTCTGACCACAGAGAGTGGAATGACAAAATTCCAGCACAGCCTGACAGGTCTGACACAGGTCACTATGTCAGCTATTTAGAAGCCGTGCAGCTTCATGGTACAAATTCTAACTGGCTTACATTAGAAATGTATGCTTTCGTTAAAAAAAAAAATAGAAGAAAGGAAAGAAGGTAAGACAGAGAACGTAAGAAGATAAAGAGAGAAACTGACTCAGACAACCAGGATAGGCAGATGGGGGCTTACCTGTGTTGTAGCCCCTCCCCAGGGCTGGCCACGGGCGGTGATTTTTCCACAGGTTTCCAAGATACCAGTCACTCTGGTTCTCCACCAAGCCCAGGGCCTGCTGACCTGTAACACACAGAGAATGCAAATGGCTTACTCTTGACACTAAGCTACATGAAGCTGCACTCAACAGTAGTGTTTACTTAATTCACTTCTATTTATTTCATGCAGTGCCAACTCTGATCTAAGTGTGTAACTTGCACTAACACATTTACTTTTCACCATTAGTGTCCAGCATGGTAGCCTAGCACGGTAGCGAAGTCCTCACCTTGCATGTGCTGGGATCCCATGTGGAAACCAGTTAGTATCCCAGCTGTTCTACTTCCCATCCAGTTCCCTGATTGTGACCTGGGAAAGCCATCGAAGATGGCCCAAAACCTTGGCACCCTGAGTCCACTGAAAAACCTGGAAGAAGCTCCTGGCTTTGGATCAGCTCAGCTCTGGCCCTTGCAGCCACTTGGGGAGTGAACCAAGGCAAGGAAGACCTTTCTCTGTCTCATTCTCTCTGTAGATCTGACTTCCCAACAAAAATAAAGAGATCTTTTAAAAAATACACAGTAAGAAATATTATTAAAAAATAATTTTTAGGGCTGAATGCGGTTGCCTAACTGCTAAAGTCCTCGCCTAGAATGCAATGGTATCTCATATAGCCACTGGTTCTAATCCCGGTGGCTTTGTTTCCCATTGAGCTAGCTGCTTGGCCCTGGGAAAGCAGTCAAGCATGGCCCAAAGCCTTGGAATCCTGCACCTGCATGGGAAACCCAAAAGAGACTCCTGGCTTTGCATCGGTGCAGCTCCAGCTATTGTGGTCACTTGGGGAGTGAGTTGATGGATGGAAGATCTTCTCTGCCTCTCCTCCTCTCTGTATATCTGTCTTTGCAATAAAAATAAATACATCTTAAAAAAAAAAACATTTTCAGGGCATGGCATGGTAGCCTGGCAACTAAAGCCCTAGCCTTGTATGTAATGGGATCCCATATGGATGCCGATTTGCGTCTTGGTAGTCATGGTTCCCATCCAGCTCCCTGCTTATGCCCTGGGAAGGCAGTCAAAGAAGGCCCAAAGCCTTGGGACCCTGCACCCATGTGAAAGACCTCGAAGAGGTTCAAGGCTCCTGGCTTTGGATCGGCTCAGCTCTGGCCGTTGTGGTCGCTTGAGGAGTGAATCAGCGGATGGAAAATCTTCTCTGTCTCTCCTCCTCTCTGTATGTCTGACTTTCAAATAAAAAATCATAACGAAATAAATCTAAAAAAAAGAATTTTCACCAGTAGGCTGCCTTTTAAAAAATATTTATTTATTTGAAAGTCAGGGTTACAGAGAGAAATGGAGAAGCAGAGAGAGATAGAGAGAGAGAGAGAGAATGTTCCACCTGCTGTTTCACTGTCCAGATGACTGCAATGACTGGGACTGGGCTGGACCAAAGCCAGGAAGCAGGGGCTTCATCCACACCTCCAACATAGGTGGCAGGAGCCCAAGCAGTTGGACCATCTTCCACGGCTTTCCCAGCATCAGTAGGCGGCAACCAGGAAACGTACCGGCACCATATGAAATGCTGGTATTGCACGTGGTAGCTTTACCCCTTCGCCGCAAGGCTGGCCCCTAGATTGTCATTTTTATTAGCCCCATTTTTCAGAGAAGAAGTGGAGGGTTGGAGCAGTCAAATAAGTTGCCCAAGGATATCCAGTTAATCTGTTCAAGTCAGAACAGCAAATCATTCATTCATATATTAATTCCCTAACTCAGGGGACTCATATTCACGAATACACTATTCTTCCAATTCTAATATTTCTCACTATCTATTCCAATTCTAATATTTCCCACTCTAAATTAATTTCTGAGCACAGACTAAGAGTGCTTGTTGAGACGAGAGCCTGAGGAGAGGAGCTACCCCAATCACTTCTCTCATCATCTCTGCTCTTGGGCTCGCTGTTTCCTCTGTATACAGTCATCTTCTGTCAGCCACCACCAGGTAAACAGGAGTGCTGGCAGGTACACCTGCTGCTTGCTTCTAGATGTGGGCTTTGACACTGCCCTTGGTCTCTGGTGTACCACAGCACCCCAGGTGACTCAGGTTTATAGGCAATCTCTTGGGGCACAGAGGACCCTGATACATGGGGGAACATCTCTAAGCCTGCCATGTAGGGTACCAGATTCATCGGGGACCTCAGGACAACGTCAGCCTGCTGCTTGTAGAAGGTATTCTGGACTCAACACCATTTTACAGACTAGGAAACCAGGGCTCACAAAGGATGGGTGATGAAGTTAGGACAGGACTCTACCTTCATCTGACACCCAGATGCTTTCCGGTGTCTCAAGGCATCGTTCGTCACTAAGGCAGCGCACACTGAAGGCAAGAGTTACAAATCCCTACTTCACAGAAAGGGACATTGAAGCCCAGGAAGTTTAACTAACTTGCTGAAGATGATGCAGCCAACAACCATCGTCTTCCATGCCAGATAGTTAGCATCTGCAACTGAACTCCTAGGATGGGCGGCCATTCTGAGAAACAGAATATTTCTGACCAGCGAAAGCCCAGCGGCATGCTAAGGAAACACAGCAGTGCTCCTGGAACACCATGCTGGGTGACAGAGAACCTCCTCGGAATGGTGACAGCTCCCTAAAATGATGGTGTGTGGGTTTGGTGTAATTTATTTGATCAATTTTTCGAGCTCCTATCTAAATCATCACTCCAGCACAAATACATAAATTAGAGGCATGGGAAAAATACTATCATGTACTTTGTCATTGAACGTGATCACATCACAAACTTGCAGAATCCATCACACAAATAAACAAACAAAACCGCATCACCCACTCAGGGAGTGTAAAAGCCAATCAATTCCATATGCAACAAGCTTGGGACGTTTGTGCAAAAACAATTAGATGTGAAAGGCATGCCCTTTGCAGAGGAAGCTGTGTGCTGCGTCCCCATGCTGTGACCCAGCAGGAGAGCTCATTTAACAACCACATACTGAGGGCCTGTTGCAACGCATAAGTAAGGTCCCTGGGGACGATGGTTCACCATGAGTAAGGATCTGAGGTTGCTATCACCGTGTATTTTGGAATGAGAGAGTGGCACATCTCAGACTTGAAAAAAAGGGAGACTGGTCATTGATTGACTTCAAGGCAGTCAGTCAGAACTTAACAGCAAAGTCACCTTCAGGTATCTGAATGTCTGAATTTTGCAGTGTAGCATCTCTTGCATTCCGTTTTGCCTTAATCCATGTCTTTGAACAAATCCCCTAATAACCATGCTCGTGACAAACAAAAATGTTTACAGTTCTGTTGCTTGGGTTCATACCTGTCTTGCCCTGTATCAGGGACTGCCCTTGCTTCATGCCAATCCCCACCCATAACCCATCCCTGACACCACGTTTCCTATGAATAACCCTGAGTCTAAACTATGATAACATCTTAATTTCCCCATTAGGTAGAAGACCTCTCTTTTGTCCTTCCCACCAATTCTTCTGCCATAGACTGAATTATACCCTTTTCCAGGACAGACTGGTTGGTATTCAAGCATCCTCACATCTCACGGGAAGTATTCATTTCCTAGATTAGCCTGAGAGTCTCAAACACATAGTAAGTGTTCAGTGTCTGCTCAGTATGCAATGTCTGGTAGATAAATCCTCCCAGTTTGCAGACATCTGCCAAGCTCAAGGCTTGCTGGTGGTCCCCTTGTTTCTACAATCGAAAATCATTTTATTTGTTCCTGTTCACCATGAGAGCTTCCCCCACCCAACTCTGGGGACCCAGGCATCTTGCCTCTCCTTCCTGGAAAACTTGCAAAGATGGGAAATGCCACTAGAGAACTGCATCCACGCAGCGATGCTCTGCTGAGAAGTTGACTCCGAGATCTTCATCTCCAAAGAAGGAATTCATTCACCACCTTAATCTTGGGTCACATTATCCCTTAGAACAATACTCTGATTCCTGTTCTTTCTATTTGTACCTGGGCTGTATTTTGCCACATACATCCAGAGCAAACAAAAGTAAAAATAAACAACCAAAAAATAACAATTAAAAAAAAACCCAGGGTATGCAACCAGTCACCTTGCCTTTAGGTTGGATGGATGTTCATGACTAATACAATAGCGAGGAGAAGCATTTGGATGAGATTCCTCAACAGTGCTGCCAGGCTTTGTGTGTGGGCCTGTGGGTCTCCTGAGCCCACCGCATCCCTCTGCCCATTAAGGCCTTTGCACGCAGGAAACCAGTAGGCAGGAGATGGTGCAGAGGTGTACATTCTGCAATTCAGCTGTGGGTTTCCGATTCCTGGCCTTCCCACTATGAAACTGTGTGGCCTTGAGAGAATAACTCCGCCTCTTTCTGCCTTGGTATCCAGTTCCTATGGCTGCTGGGCCTTCCCACGCTCTATGACTTCGCACCTGTGTAGGCTGGTGTCTAGGAGCAGAGGCAGCATGAGCACAGCTGGCCCGTTCCAGATACGGGCTGAGGGCCAAGTGCTTCAGAAACTTCTGGGGTTGTTCTTAGAAGCACAGGTTCCTGGGCCTTTCTTCCTAGAAAGTGAATTATCAGTAATGAGGTGTGACTTTCTGGGTCTCTGACTTTTAGCCCCACCCTTCTCTTGCCCCTGGGTAACTCTGAGAGATGTTTAGGTAGCTTTGCCTCTTCCTCCTTCGCTTTCCCTGGAGCCCATGGACCAACAGACACAACTCTTGAACCGGCTCTTCTATGCATGCAGATTTGCAGGGCAGTGTCAGTGAGACTGTCCGGCAGTTCCTGTGACTGTGTAGGTGACTAAGACGTTAATGTTAGGCATGTCAAAGTGAAGTTCTTCAATTTCACCTTCATTTGCAAAACATGGTGACACTCTGCTCTCACCCATTGATCTATCTAGCACCTGGATATTATATTGTACATTAATCACTCATAACTCAACACTTCTGAATATTTATTCTGGCCATGGTGTCTATTCAGATGCATTTAAAGATGCCAACTTCCCAGGCAATACAGATGTACTTGCAAGGATAAATTCATGTGGTGCTCACACCCATGTCATAGACCAGGAGACTTCAAGTTGGTCTGCAAGGACAAAGCCAGAT